GTCTCATATAATAGACAAAGTTTTAAAAAATATCCTAATTTTCTGTCATCGTGGCAACTAAGTTAAATTTCAGTTAAATTTAATACTCAAACGGAAGCACGCTATAGTGGGAATGTTTTCCGAATAGCCTATTTGTATTTGAGAAATTAAACGTGTCATACTCAAACAGTTATTAAATCCAACATCCAAACTCAACACAACATACAATTATTGTAATCTTCTCAAATCTCGACCTTATCTCGTATTTAAACGTCTCATTAATATATTTTGTTAATCAATTTCAAACGTACAAACGTTTCAGCGTGCGTATAATAAATCTGATACGTAAGCCTCGCCTAATTTTCATTGACCGTGAACCGCCCATCTAGCGGATGTTGAAAAAAAAGGCTGTATCAACTAACAAATAGCTGTTATTTGACCCACATCGCTAACCCCGTTGCGGCGAAATCGCAATGTTATTTCGCGACTTACATTTTTTGGAACACTTTTACTTTGGCATTGGGCTAGTCAGGGCCGCCGTGCTCTGGCCATATGCCGGATGCTAAAAAAACGTTACGTTCTAAATTCGAGAATAATTGACAACCTGTTTTAAATAATCGCGCGCATTTTTTTGCATCGATTCTTCTCGAACCGCACATTAATTAAGTTTGATTTTCGACGTCGAAAACGCGGTATTGAAAAAGAATTCTTACAATAATTTATCGGAAAACGCGATCGCCTTGGGAACTTTCGTTTGAAATAGCAATACATGTATTTTAGTGCTGTTATTTAACACAGCAGAAACGAGTTCTATAACAATACTGCTTTAATTAAAATTTACCTGCGAAGCTCGGTTGCCGAGCGGTCGGTGTTTTGACTCTGAATTAATTATGATTTAACAAAGCTCTTAGTAAGCCATTTACAATTCTTCACTTAGATAATCTCCGCTAAAATTGTATTTTAAAAAGAAACTGTTTACGTCCTGAAGGTAGTTAGGAAATGGAAGCAGGGTTAATTACGAACTGAGATGACACTAATTAATTTGATGACAGCGATAGGTTTTACGCCGGCGTGAAACCCCGTCTTGCCCTTAAAAGTGAAACTTTAGAAAGCTCAAGTAAAAACACAAGCAAACAATCACATAAGTCCGTGTCAAAAGGCAAGCGGCAGCCCTGACATCAAATTGATCCGGCGTATGAACGAATTTGGTGATGACCCCAATTTCTCTTTCGATAACGCTCCACTGAACGCTGTCGAGCTTTGTGGCGAGTGTCATCGAGACGTCCATTCAGAGGGCTCTTTAGCACGCGATACAAATATAAAACTTTCTATGGCGACGTTTCAAGCGATCCGCCTAAAAATGACCTGCTAAATTCCTTACCATTATTCCGAACAGACAGTAAAGACAATGCGCTTTTAACTTTACATAAGGAGTGGGCGAATTTGTACCACAAATAAACAAATCTATACTATTAAATGTAGAGCCGGTTTTTTTGTTCGGTTCTCCTGCAAAAACTATTGAGCTGATCGGAATAATACTTATTTATACCATAAGATGCAGTTTGTTTTGGGGAAGGTTTTGATGATGAATGGTGATTATTTATCCGGAACCTATATATTTTTGACTTAAAGAAGATTGTATGACCCGGCGAAGCGGGCGGCGGACAGTTTGTGTCTAAATAAATAAATATGCTGAAAATCTGCATTCATTATACACCATTAAAATATTTCTATAAATACTGAAAAGATTTACATTTAGATAAAAATTAAAAAGAACACTTGAGTTTTCATACATATTCAAAATTCGCAAATGAGCCCAAATATTTTTGACTGAACATATGACTAATATTTATAATAGTGATTTTTTTAATGATACGGTATATAAATTATATACTCACTCCCAGTTTCTGAAACACTGATCATCGTAGAAGTCAACTAATCAACGGTCAAATTGCTTTTCAAATGTTATTTAATTACCAAAAGAATGGTTAAAGTCTTCTATCAATCATTCTGATCATTAAGAAGATCTTTCTCTTTATGTCTCATTTCGCATTTTGATTTTTTGAAAAGTACTCTATACTCAATTAATGCCCGTACAGTCATTGAATAATTTAGATTTTGACAGTTAACCGTCGCCCGTCGACCGTGGACATTTGCAACACCCGTAGGGTCGAAGATGCGTTGCCACCGTTAAAGAAAGTGGGCCCTGGCAACCTCACTCGCCAGACGAAACGCAGAAGTGTAACACTTCTACTTCACGTCGGTCTTCTACAAGGTCGTGGTACTAGCCCGGACGGACCTGCCCAATATTATATTATATCAGTGAACCTCAAAAACAACCGTAATTATGGATTCGCGCGGCGTCAGTGGTAGTTTCATGGGGACATCCCGGTGGTAACATAAACTTTCTCCCATCGCACGCAATTGTTTTGATTTCGCTCATTCGCAAAACCGAGCACGACGACCCACAAATCGTGGCAAATTGTTTCGCGCGCACGGACATCGACGTGACATTTCTTAAGTTTCGTTCGCGAAAGTGAGCTTTTCAAAAGAAAGCGCGAGGAGAGTTTGCCCCGTCTTTTGTCAGGATAACCCTTCCAGGAATTTTATAGGTAGACTGACAAAATATCGTCACATAAGCAAACAAACCGAGCGATTAATAATTTTAAGAGAATAAAATCTAGGAATCAATCCTCATTGAAAGCACTTATCGTATCGTAGAACAATACGTAGAGCATGTAGGAAAACGACTTCAAAATTTTGCATTTCTAACAAGCCTAAAAAAGTATTTTGGCTTTCATTTTTATTTTTCATCGCATATTGTTGTGACTCGCTTGCGGAGTTGCTATGCTATTTGCATCGGCGACGTATGTTCGATGCCCACACGGGATAAGTATTTGTGGGACCGACAGAAAGTTGATTCGGATCTGGGTTTTATTCCCAAAAAAATGTTGAAGAAGAATTTCTAATAATAGCACAAGCCGGACTAAATAAGGCACGAATAAACAAACACAAAGATTTGATTTATTAAAAAAATAAGATCTACTACACATTTCATGTCATAATCATCACATCTTCCCTCTTTAATCATGGCATAAACTTCTTAACCTCTCCATCGAAACAGCCCATTTCACATCCTTTCTTTCCCTTCGCTGTACATTCCATTTCTCGCAGGCCATTTCTTACGAAACAACAAACGATAATTGAATTCCCGTCAACAAATTAAAACACTCAACAAACTGAACCATTCTTTTCTTATCCTTCTGCGCAACACGCTCGCTGAGACAGACTGTGGCAAGCGATAACTTCGACCATATAAAGCGATGTCGTGTTGGGCGCTTGTCGCAACGGAACAACGACGAAGAACGGCATGCTTGACTGTTTGTTGCACAACGAACGCACCAAGACGGCGTCGCTCTGATAGTCTACTCGAAAACTTTACGGCCGCATACTAGACAACGCATTTGCCGCAGTTCTCTACGGGCCAATAAAATGAATAGCTTATGTGATTGAACACTGTCTTCAAAGTGAAAATCTAATTTTACAAGAAAACTATGCATTCCGAAGTAAAAGTTACAATATTATACTTAGAGATTAACTTACTGAGAATAGTATTGAACAAAAACCTTTGTAGTTTTGAACAGTGGCTTCAAAATGAAAATCTAATTTCACAGGAAAACTCTGCATTCTCAAGTAAAAGTTACAATCTCGTAATACTTAGAGATAAACTTGAGTATCGGATTGAAGAAAAACCTTTGGAGTTTAAATTCGATTGCACCTTGAAAATTTTATAGCGTCGGATAAAATAATTACAATCCGAAAAAGACCTTGCTATGGGCAATTGACAAAACTAGACATAATAAGCATGTAAAGTATACTAAACAGATTAATAGTTCAATTAGCACGTAGTTGAGTAAGTTTTTATGACCTTTTCCGCATATCGAAAAGTAAAGTAAAAGTAAAGTAACAGCCTATACATGTCCCACTGCTGGGCAAAGGCCTCCTCTATACAGAGGGTATCAGGGCATAGTCCACCACGCGGCCCCACTGCGGATTGGCGGACTTCACATATTTTCGAAATATATATTTTTTTGTTATTATTTCGAAAATATGCAGGTTTCTTCACGATGTTTTCCTTCACCGCGGAGCACGTGATAAGTCAGCACTTAAAGTTAAAAACTTCATTGGTACCGGCACCGGGGATCGAACTCAGGTTGCTCGAGTATATTAAATTAAAGACGAGCGCCCGGACACTTAGCTATCACGGCCGCATATCGAACCTGAATAATTTTCGAACTATTCCAATTTCACCTTTGATTTTTTTTTAAACTTTAACCATTTCACATGCATGATCTGTTGTACCAAAAGAATCAAATCACCACATTTTATAAATTTCAAGTCGGACGCCATGAAAAATCGATGCTATGTTTTTGATATTATGTTCTTCTTTCACTTTCGTCACCTACTAGGCTTCTGTTTCTTGCGGCGGTCGAGAAATAGGTAGAAACGGGAATCGGTCAGCAGCTGTTAAACGATTCAACTACTAGTCAATCCACCAGTAAATATCTGCTAGCATCGGGAGGAATATTGACGTTGAAAACGAAAAACGAAACTCCGCACGTGAGCGGATCCGATGTCTCACAACGACGTTAACTTTCGTTCGTTTGACACCGAAAGTGAACTGGACTTTTACTCTCCGGAGAACAATGCGTACGATACCCGATGCAAATTCTTTACGTCTTTCGCCGCTCGAACTGACGATGTTACGTACTAAGAACATCTGTGTCGCGGTGTGTTCCACTTGATTGGCGTAGAGACGCCTTTAAACAACATCATCCAAGTAATTTATATATTTACAATAATTAATAAATGTTTAAACGTATCATATCTTAACGTTTATATCCCGATCATTAAGTTGGCGATTTATAATGTACCGCCTCTGACGTAACAGCAATGGCGGTGAGACAAAGAGCATCGTAGTGATTTCAATTAAAACACGCGGTGCATTGCTGGGGCGCGAAATGGTCGAAAGAAAAATTCCTCAGAAGGCGCAAGCCGCCATTCCGAGTCGAATGGGCGGCCGGAAGGTGTAATGCGGCGACGATGAACCCTCTCAAAATTGCTCGTAATTGGACAATTTTCCACGCTCATTTATAATCAACTCGGCACGGATTCCTGTCGTAATACACGAGCGAAAATGTTTTACGCGCGTCGAAACCGAAGAGCGCGTTGCCAGCGTTTATGAGGATGAAAACTTAAATGATCTGAAAACTCATGAACATCTAAAATACTTCTTAACACATTAGCAGTAATATATCATGAGAAACAACGTTAATTCTATGACAGATGATATCTAATCAATGTTTGATGCGACGAATATCGGAGTTGAAAATATGGAGCCTATTACTAATATTAGTAATAATGACAACTATAGTCAACTTGAAGTTAAACTTCTCTTTAACTTACAGCGAGCTCAACACCTATTGCAGTTTAACATAATTACGGACTGAAAAATCTAGGCAACTAACGTATTTAGTGCGTTAGATAACCAAATTCAGCTTAGCCAGTTAAAACGCATGCCCGCAGTCACGCAAGCACACGTGTTTCTACGTCCCGTGGTGCTATCAGGCCGGCTACGATGAAAACACGGCGCCGATAGAAACTGGTCTGATGAAAGCGAAAACCTCCCCCCCCCCCCCCCCTCCCTTGCCCCTCCACCCCCAGCCAGTCTAATTACTTTCATCGCGCCGGAACCGCGAACTGGAGCGGCACGACCCAGACACTGGGCATCGCGTCGATAGCGAAATGATTGATCTCGATCGGACTGTGGTTGCGCAACGGCAACGGCGGTTCGCGGTTCGCGCTGCTCCCTCCGTTAAGGCGTCGACACACAGGTCTGCGGCAGACAAGCTTGTATATGCCGTGTCACGCTGATATAAGGGCGAAAACACACGTAGAACGAATAATATATAACAAGCGACCCGCCACGAGTTCGCACGGTTGTATTGAATTAAACATAAACCTTCCTCTTGAATCACTCTTTAATTTAAAAAAAAAACGCATCAAGATCCGTTGCGTTGTTTAAAGATCTAAGCATACATAGGGACAGACAGACAGCGGGACGACTTTGTTTTATACTATGTAGTGAAGTTTTGACAACGACAACCTTAAATTAAGATGCTGTGGAATACATTCTGATGTATCGCAGACGTGACTTCTGAAATTCTGTCTCGTCCTGTTCATCTTCGGAGGTCCCTATCCTTCCTAGTTAGGAAGATAAACATGCATTTAGCAATACCCAGAACATCTCCTTAGATATTGTATTATAATAGCCTTTCTGCTAACGAGATTCCGTCAGGAGGCTCAGGTAGCCTGTTGACCGATTTTAAATAAAATTGATTCGGATGCAAAAGACGCTAACATGTCATATCAAATGACATAATACCTGTAACGCGTAAATATTTCGATACATTTACAAAAGGAAAAAAAACATGAAACTCGATATCCACAAGGCAATAACACGAGAAAGCTATTCAGATACACGTTTAAGATATCATCGCGGGTCGCAACTTGCGCACATGTACGCGAGAAACTATTAAAACGTCCACACCGGAACGCCGGTCAACAGCCGATAAGGCGCGAGCTATCTCGCATCTAATGAACTGTTGCAAGTTCGTTTAAACGCGTCCGTATCAAAGGCACACAGAAAACCCTCCGGGAAAACGGTAGGACACGGCGAAAAACTTGCCACGATTTTCGCGCGCGACTGTTGTGGGGTAAATTTATGACAACCTAGTACTGAAACATTGTAGGTTTCATTTATTTTATTCACACATTTATTATGTTAATTTATTTATGCTCCCATCGCTTCACATTATGCGAGCTACAATGGCCACCCATTACATACTACAATTGCGCAAGAACATTCTGTAACGATCAACCCTTGTCGTGCTGATATAAATTACTAAACTAAGAAAAACTAAGCTAATTTAATGAATAATACATAATACATTTTTAATAATATTTAAAGAGATTATCAAAATATAAAAGGTAACTAGGCAACTTTGAGAATTAAATATAGTTTCCAAAAGAAAACTTTATATCGGTAAAAAATAGTCTAGATTTTTGTAAGACCTCACATTTACCTATCATTAACAAATTGAAAAATCTATATACCTATACAAATAACATAGACGCGTCGAGTGTAAGCTGCGCAGTATGAAAACGATAATGAATCTAAAATGTGAGTGGTTCGGAGGTCGAACGTCTAGAGGTCGCAGGGAAAAAGGGTGACTATTTCAGAATGGAGCACTCAAACATACGCAAACTTAACAAACTATTTAACGTAAACTTAATAAAAACCAAACTCAAACGAATAAAGCAAATTGAAATCAAATTGATATGATGATACACAATGATCTCTACAACACTAGTTGCCTAAAGTAATACTAAGTACTCTAGAAAGTTTGTAAAACTTCGGCAATAAAAAAAAAATTAAACGCAATATAATCAATAACTTTTTTTTATTTTTTTTATATTAACAAATTTAAATCGATTACTGTTAAATATTATTGTAATATATACAGAATACAGGCAAACGTCTAATATCTGCGTCCTTCGTCCATTGTTGATGCTATTGTTTGGATTTTTTTTTTATTTTAAAAGGAAAATAAACGCGAAACAGTACGTAAAGTAATTTCAAGATTGATTCTTCAGTTTATTTACTGTTTTAAAGATAAAACAGTAAATAAACTGATGAATCAATCCGAGTATTTTAAATCAGACGTAATGTAAGTACGTTTGAACTTCCGTTAATCATGCAGTTCTATCTGTGGCATGGCAATCATATTTCTCTTAGCAACAGCCGTTCAACGATGTACACCAATGGGTACTACGCAATCGGTGTCCTAAATGCGCGATAGCCTCTTTAATCCTTATCGATTCAAAAGATACGTGCATCAGAGTGCAGAATAAATAATGAATTAGAGATAATGCACCTTTACCTGATTAATATTACGACACACTGAACATATAATTACATTACATTAAATTGTGGCCGCCTACAACACTGCCAATCTGCTTTTTGAATCGGATGGCGTATTTTTAATCGACATTCAGCATTACAACTTCTTATCACTTAATATCATTGAGTGCTGAAATGGAAAAGAAGTCTCGTTACGATAATTACACTTATCAATAACAATAAATTTATGAATAGAACTGCATGACTCCGACATGAATTTTAACCGCCATAATTAACGTTGTAAAATTACTAAGCAAACTAAGATTAATCCCAAGGCTAGCACGTAATTTGCAAATGATAATCTTACTAACACTCATATCTCGGATATCGAGATCGATTAACACCCGCTTGGTTGTTAATTGCAACTCTAATCCTAGCACACTTAATTATCGAGAACTATTAACAGAAAACTTTATGTCCAATACGTATTACATCTATACTAACAGCAGTTACGACTTCACGATATCTTCAACTTGAAAAGCAGTTTGCTCGTGTCAATTTTCGACGGCGAAACCTGGTCGCCAGTCAACCCTTTAGAGGGCTGCGTACCCAAAAGGTCAAACGGGACTCTATTACTAAGTCCCTATTACTCTGTTGTCTGTCCGTCTGCCACCACGCCGTTTCTCATGCACCATAATAGGTTAGTTGAAATTTTCACAGATGATGAATTTCTGCTGCGGCTACAACATCAAATACTAAAAAACAGAATTAAATAAAATGTTTAAGGTGGCTCGCATACAACAAACACGAGGCGGTTGCTAGCCAACGTATAGGTGCTTAAGTTTATTATAGATACTGCTACGGGACCCTTCGTGAGTCAGTCCGACTCACACTTAGCCGGTTTTTACTCTTGCATAGCTTACTTACAAACGGTAGGCGCCAATTGCACAAAAATGCCAAGGCTCCCTTAATTTACACAACGCGAACGTACACGAGAGCTGTCAATCTTGAGCGAACAGTACCTAATATAACGCTACCAACACGACTTTGCGTACAATGGACAAATTCGCCGCCGACATCCAATTCACACAGAACGCAACGCCCGCTAACAAAAAGCATCGCAATCATAATAGAGAAGGAAAGGCTAATTGTTTACGCAAACAACGCTATGTAAACATTCACACAATATCATATACCAGAACGGTCACGTCATTCAGTCCGTTAGTCCATTGAAGTGGGATGGCAGTCAAGTGCTAGCCAGCTAATGAATTTAAAAAATAAAAAAGTACCACGAACTCACAGAAGACCGGCGTGAGGTGGAAAAGTTACTACTTCTGAGTTTCGTATGGTGCGTGAGGTAACTGGGTTCGACTTTATTGAAATGTGACAACGCATCTGAAACCCTACGTGTGTTGCAAATGTCCATGGGCGGCGGATATCACTCAGGTGAATCGACAGATCGCTTGCGACCTTCTTACAAAAACAACTAGATTATATTAAAGACTAAACTTAGCCGGCACACATAGCTTAATGAAAACTACAATAAGTAGCCTCTGTAAAGTGTTCGACACTTCGGAAATTGATAACAATATTATACGCAATGCAATCCGTTTTATTTTATATCATCAAAATTAAATCGTTATCAGGCTACCCCTGGAAGCAATTAATTATTATTGTCATATTACGGAATGAACGAAACGTCAAACATCTGCATCTATCCACCGTGGGTACTAGTGTGGGATTGTTTTTTTTTTATTAAAAAAAAACTGAACGGGATAAACTACGTAAAGCAAATATCGTAAATACTAATTTCATGATATTCTAGTAGTGCAATAACAAAGATTAATTGCATTGACGATGCGCGAATCCTAAATTTATGATCACTACGGAATTCGTGTCGCGACTCGTAATTCGCGTTAGGCATACCTAGACGACACATTTACCTATCCAAAGTGTTGACGCACAATTCAAAATAACCGACCTGAGTTGTAACACTAAGTACGTATTATATCAATTACATACCGTACCATTAAAAAAATCCCATTTATAAAAATACAGTTATATATGTTCAATCAAAATTCTTTTACATCGGCGAATTTTGAATTTGTATGGAAACGTCGTATGTAAAGTTGATTGATCTTTGTTTATGGCGTAGAGATAAAACAATGCAATACCGACCTGTCAAACTACAGAAGTTTAATTTCCCTCCTTATATAGTTAAAGCTTGCCCATAAAAGGTGCCCCAAAAACTTACTAATGACTTATTTGGATATAGACAATATTAATGGCGGATTTCCCTATGTGACGTGTAGGCCCGGCCCTAGGGCGGCAAATTGTAGGGGGAAGTAGAACTTAAAATATTTTTAGTAGTTGTGCCTTTCGCCCCTCGCTCCTTCGCATAAGAGATATTCTGTAAAAATCATTATAAATCAAACAGGCCTGATGACTAGGCCCCATTCTTCGGTCTCATGATCAGATATCACTTACAAACTTTATTTGTTTTTTGTGCTTTACAAAGAGTATGGGGCGGCAACCTTTCATGTGCCTAGGGCGCCCAACGGAACAAACGCTTGCCTCATAACCGAGATATTGGAAAACCAATGCTCGAATGCAAAAACTAATGCTCGATTCTCATAGCGACTCGTATCCGGAATTATAAAAAAAATGTTCACGTTTCGTATAATATAATGACTTGTATCTCATTTATTTGAATAATATTTTTAAAAAAATCTGAAATAATACTTAATAAGTGCTCGTGGAGAGATAACTATCGCAACAGTTTCTTACTCCATTAAGAAAACGGTCGTACACGTATTTGGAAATACATTTACGCTTAACTGACACACCATTACGTCGTTGACGAGAAAACCATCAAAATTAACCGCGTAATCCATAAAAGCAATTTTCCCGCGCAAATAACAAGACCCAGTACAGGCGATCTCATCACATACACAACTTTTAAACTGTATTTATTATATGATTACATTGGTTTATTAAAATTTAAATACCATTAAAATACCATACAGAATAAAAAAAAGTAAAAATTCAAATTTGGAAAGGGCAGACGGCCAACTGCATAGCGTGACCGACCTCAGCCCTTAATTGACACCCGAAAATCTCCACACAACGTACCTGGCCGGTGCACGTGCACCGATCTCAGGCAATGATATCTTGATTTTATTACACCAGCTTTAAAAAGATTCCAACCGGTTTAGTTTCGAAATGGAACGCAAGTGACATAAAAATTACGACCTTCGCGTATAATGGCCGCTGTTGTTTAATTAAGCGGAATGCCATCAAATACGATTCTTTTCGAGGTTCTCCGACGCGTGATCCTTGGACGAAATTATTACAAATCAAAACGGTTGCAACATCGCATCTGAATATTCTCAAGTATGTGCCGCTGTCGATTCGGTAGGCTGATCGGTACCACCTATTAAGAGTTTCGTTACAACACTAATATATAATTTAATTTTAACTGCGCAAAAGTAAAATATAATCGAAACCGTCGAACGTTTATGAGCAAATTTTCTTACTCTGTGCCTGGCAACGGCAACAAAAAACTGGTCGGATCGTAACCATTAAAGCAACATGTAAAGAAAATGATCGGAACAGATCGACTACGCATTACCCGCGTACCACGCTTACCGGCTAAAATACAGAGTATTACGCCGATACTATTACGAGCGGAGTGCTAAAAGGCGGGATCATAAAAATTCGCATTAGTTCCGCGTAGCGTAATAGATTCCAGACACGAGAGCGCATTTAGAAAAAAAAAAGAAAACTCACAGCGTATCGGCGGCGGTTATCCTCACACACACACAACTCGCGTATATCTCGAACGGTCGTGGCTCGCGCGGATTAGTTTTCGCGCGGATACACGGGACGTCACTTATCTCGTCACTTATTCGTAGCGGAGCCGGTGGCGGTGAGCGCGGAGCGTCTCTCGTGCAGGCCTGCTGCCGAGTGCCGGGCGGGCTGCGTGGGCTCTTGTAAACAAAACGCGCTGGTGGAGGGGCCCCGCCGAAAAGCCTGGCGGAGGCCCGCTCACTTGCGTCACTGCGCGCTCCCCGTGAGCGGCGGATCGCACTGGCCGCTGAGCGCCGTTGACGTTTCGACGTGGACCTCAACGAGACCAGCCTTTCTTTTTTTTTCAATTGTCTATGGCTTTCACATAGAGCTGGCCGAAAATACACTTTCGCTTTTATTTTGACGTTTTTTTTTTTACTTTTTAGGCTCCTCTACTTTTTATACTCGTACCGAGTAATTCTTAAGTCTTCATCTTAATTCTGTTTGAATTTCGGGACTAGGTCATTTATGACATTTCGGTACCGTTGTGCCATATACGTAATTGATCTGAAGTACTTATAGTAGAATACATAACAAACACCTATTTAGATTTAGGTTAGGGTCGTCTTACGTACTCTACACAAAAGTATAGTTTTACATCTTTCGTAATCTAGGGACGGAAAACGCACTTTTCTCTCTGATTTCAAGGCATTAAAATGGTTTTAAAAGAAAAAGGCGAATGTAAAATTTATTTGTATCGGTACATCACAACCTTAAAAAGAAACTATTATACTAGACGCTCCTATCATAATTACCCGAATGAGAGAACCGAACTAGTAAACATGTGAAATTAATAAGGATTCGTAAGTGCTGTAAAATAAGTGAATGTTGCGACTTGATATAGCCTATCGAGTGACCCAGTATTGAAGTATGTAGGGAAACCATACAGTGAACAACTCTAAAGTACATGACATTTTTTCTCTCTCCCTCTATGTCTCACTTTCTCTCTTTCTGACTGACCTAAAATGTTCATTGCCCACAACCTACTGCTAAGAAATCCTGTACATTATAACCGTGTTAAGCTTTATCTTTTTCATTCAAAATTATGCAAATTAACATACTGATCTAATTTAACGTTACAGGCGAAACATATTAACATAAACGTAAATAACGGCTACACAACATGTTGTCACCCTCCAATAATTACCGGAACAAAACAGTTACATGTTTACGGTTACTGTCCCTCGCCAGCTGACATTCTATTTAAAGATCTAAAATTTGAAATAAAAAGGTTTTACCTTAGTTTTTTTTTTTTTTACCTTATTTATCATGGAAATAACGCACAATGACTAATAAATAATATTATCCTCAAAAACAGATTTATATATTTTTGTATGTAAGAAGTTGCAAAAAGACTATTTAAATGTCTACAAGCAAATAGTATAAAAGTTCTTTAATAAAATACTTTTTTATTAGGTGGAAAGAAGTTTTCATATCTATGGAAATATTTTCTATGCGTAGTTTACTAGAAAACATTTTCCAAAACGAAGACTCAAGATAATCTTGAAAACGATTAAAAGCATCATCAGTTTCGGCCATAAATATAAAACATTTTCACTTTGCTAACATGTACATTTCATTAAAGTTAAAATAGTGAATATATCAAAAGAAAATACAAATAAATAAAGCTGTCGAATCGTTACTCTTACATCTATATTGTATTAAGTTAGCAATAACTTTATTATAGCTCTTTCGTGTAAAGTTCAATAAACGAATCTGTTTTTGAAATTAAACTAAATTAATGCAATAAACAGCTTTGATATAAAACATCAGAATAGAGTTTAAATATTATAAAAATTATTTTATATAAAATAAGACATCGAAACTCATTCATTACCGCTAAGACGACCCGGATGGCGTAGTGGGTAGTGTACCTGCCTCCTGCGCCAGAGGGTGTGGGTTCGATCCCCACTACTGGAAAAATATTGTGTGATGAACATAGTGATTTTCTAGTGTCTGGGTGTTTATCTATGTATAATATGTATTTATTTAGAAAAAAAAAGTATGTTTAAGTATGTTTATCAGTTTTCTAGTACCCATAGCACAAGCGTTGCTTAGTTTGGGACTAGAAAATGTTGTGTAAAAAAAAATTAAAAAAAAAAAAAGACGAGACCATAACGCAACATATACACAGAGAAATATTATGCGCCGCGGGCTTCTCTAATACGTATCAACTTATCCATATCCGAAATATTTTAATATATCTGTACCCTTATTAAATGTTACTGATACAACACGCAAAATTGCCCAGCCGTATTGACCGCACTGATACAATATAAATATATAGAGCAAATTCTGATTCATACTACGTTCAATTGTGTACAAAAAAAATTACAATCACTTTAAACGTAATTATTAATTTACCGTGCCACAACGACATTAAAATGATAGTCGTTGAAATTCTAAAACATCAACGCGAACGCTGACATTTCGCATTGGGCAAAGAAAAGGGAAGATAAAAAGCTGAGTGGAAGCTCTGGGAGGTTTTAATTAACACGTACGTAACTAAACTAACAAACACAAGTTGCTTTTTGTGTGCACAAAAAAGGCACGCGAACCCGTGCTTAGTTAATGAAATAGTTATTAGATGGGATATGTGAAAATTCTTTCAAGTTTGTATTCGAAATCAATCCTGGTGGACACGGAACAATATATATATAAATATATCGTTGAATTTGTTTTGTTCGGATGAAATATTTTTATCCATTATTCTTTTGGAAGGCAAAGAAGCAAGCGGTTGACCTGATATTAAGTAAAGACCACCGTTCATGGACGCATAGCATCAAGGATGGAGCAGAATTTTTGCCAATCACGAGTCTGTGGCACTCATAACCACACCCACCAGGCGAAATGCTAAAATATTTTTTTTAAAAACACGCCGGTCTTCTGAGGCAGTGGTTCCCGAGCAAGGCAGCTGGGTGTTACGTAAGTCATTGCTCTACCATAGTCCGTTGGAAAATTCCAGGGTATCATAATATTGAATATATGCATATGAAATAAGAATCAAGAATTTTTGTTTCTACTTAATCATGAGGAAATTGGATACGGTATTTTAATCCTACATATACAATTTACAAACTATTGGGAATAGGAATTTTACTTACTTCATAGTATTACTATTGTACTTTTATTTAGCACAATGTATATGTATATGCGTGAAGAATATAAAAAACTATCAAAAAACATGTAGTATCATATGTTGTAAAACCTTAAAGTTTTAATTTTCTGCTCTTGTAATTAATTTCATATGTGTTTAAGATAATATTCTTTTTATAGATAATTTATTATCTGTTTTATTCAAATGTATTATAATCTATAGTTTCCTTATAAATCGCTCTGACGTCTTCGCTCTGGATGTTCTTTGATCTATGGTTCACGTTCGTGAACGCACGCAAACTCATTTTTTATTTTGCCTTTATACAAACAAAAAGAGAATTAATTAGTAATTGAATAGACAAAAGAGTAAAGCACGAAACAAAGTTATGAAGTAATATTGCCGATTGATTGTAAAATAATTTTACGATTTGTCGAATAAAAAAAAAGTACATGTTTAAAAATATACGACAGGATATACGAGTATAGATACGTTGTAACAAAAAATGCCTTAATGAATTAAATGCATCATTTACGGCTGTATATTATCTTTACGTATCAATCAATCTGTCACCGGCAAATGCAATAAAGACTCGGATAATGTGACTCGGCGTTCGCTTGTCTTATTTTGGAATCACCTCTATTTGTACCCGGTGATAAGATAAAAATCGTTCGCTATCCCCCGCTCACCATTTTCACCCTAATTTCACAGAGGCAATTGAGGTGAAAATTCCATGACGCCACAATCGTATGACCGACATAAATGACGAAACAGATACTGAAATTCATCGTCACACGCGCCCAGCGAAATCCCCACAAGACCGTTTATGACATAAATTCGTTATTTAAGAAACTGATATCCGCAATGTTATAAGAATTAAAAAATGTAAAAGACACTAACGGTTTCTGAAACTCTGATCATCGTAAAGATTTTTTTATTTTCTTCTTCATTTAATATAACATTACCCTTACTTTAGGATAACATTATCCTGTGTTGTAAGGACATTTTACAAACATAAATTTCACGCGGACAAACACCCAGATGCGAAACAACTAACTGTGGGCCACACAAATAGTTGTCCCGTGTGGGAATTGAACCCACGACCCCCGACGCCGAAGCCAATAACTTGGCAACTGCGCCACGGAGTCATCATGATGTTAATTAATCAGCTGTCAAATGGCTTTTAAAATGTCATTTTAGTTGCCAAAAGTTTGGTTAAACTCTTTGGATTGATCATGCTCATCATTAAGATCATTCTGGTCAATTCAAAGAGTTTAACCATCCTTTTGACAACTCAAATGAAACTTAAGAAGCCATTTGACAGCTGATTAGCTGTCATCAATGATGATCAGTGTTTCAGAAACCGGGCGTTAGTATCTTTTACATTTTTTAATTCTTATAACATTGCTAATAGCAGTTTCTTAAATAACGAATTTTTGTCATAAACGATCTTGTGGGGATTTCGTTGGGGCGTAAGATTTACGTCGCTTGAAATGAATGCAATACTCTTTCGTCGATATTTACCTTACCTTGTCGTGTTGCCACAAAAAGGCATATTTTAGCGGATAAATATGTATAAATTACACAATTAAGTTTATTTATGTGTGAAGCGCACTAATTAGTATTTATATTATGCAAAATGCGTGCATCCGTTTTCGTGCTCAAAAATAAGTGTGTAAGAATTCTTGAAAAAAAAAAAACGTTTTTTAAGGAGTCTTCCATATGCATCCTAGATCATGTGAGAACTATACATAGAAGTACTATAATGTTAGATATTATATCGACGTAACGGAATCTAAAGATATGCTTGCTTGTATATTTCATTAAACAAAATAATAAAACATTAATCCGAAATTAGGAAATAATACAAGTTTACGAATCCCGAGGTATTTGAGGTTCCTAACTATCCCCCGGGAGATAGTTAAGAACCTCAATTATCTAATAACAGTTCAGTTCCGACTAATTTAGTTTACCTACGTTTGGCGTAAGAAAATTATTTTAGACCATGCTTGAACGCCTGAAACACCAAATGCAAGACGCAGGACAAACAACAAAGGCTATTTAATAACATATAAAGTTTGGAAATTAGGACCTTATAGGTAATGATAGGAATTTACTTACTTATCCTATCATTATTTGTAGTATAAAAAATCACCAACTCTTAATTTATCAGAGTAAATGTGTATGTGAAAAATTAATGTACCTTTCACTGCGAATCTACACAATTGCTCTAAAAATATTAATAGACTGCGAAGAAACATCACGGTTTTTTTATATGGAAAAGGTGGCAAACGACCATGTTGATCACTTGATGGTAAGAGGTCACAACCGTACACTCGTTATAACGGAGGAGCGGAAGAAAAATGCTCTGCCGGCCTTTAAGGTGAATATAAAGCTATAAATTGTATTTTCAAGGATATCAGTGACTGCCGGCTGTGGCCTTTGATCCGACGTCACAGGTTCGAATCGCAAAGGCTAAAACCAAAGAGTTTGTGGTTCTTCGCGTGATTTATGTGTGAAAATCGCTGTGTCACCTTGGTGTTTTGATAAAGATGAGGCATGTCCATACTGCACGGCGTTTAAAAATTGTTCCGGTTTACATTATATGACATCTGTATAAGTGAATGTGACAGATGATAACGTGTGATACGGAAAGATATAGCAGCCTATAAAATTGCAATCTAATTACACCAATGGCGTTATTCGTATGCCTTAGTTTCGGGCCGATAGTGTCATATAACTCGTTTGGGTATATGATATCATTGACGTGTCACATTTACGCGCTGCAGTCAATACCTAATACGTTTTGAGACTTAAAACCTAGTTGATTAGTTAATGATTGCACTAGTCCACATATAACAACAACCTCCGTCTACTCT